TTCTTAGGTTTTGTCTTTTCATATTGTCTTGGATTTCTTGGACGGTCTGTGTCAGGAATTTTTTGGATTTAACATTTTCTTTGACAGATACATCGATTTCTTTGACAGATACATCGATACATTGTATCTTCTACACCTGAGATTCTTTCTTCCATTTCTTGTATTCTGTTGGTTATGCTTACCTCTGTAGTTCCTGTTTTCTTCCCTAAATTCTTCCTCTCCATTATTTCCTCCATTTGTGTTTTCTTTAATTTTTCTAGTTCTATCTTCAGGTCTTGAGTTGTTTTGTTTAGTTCCTTCACCTGTCTGCTTGTATTTTCCTCTTTTTCTTTTAGTTCCTTCAACTCTGTCTCTTTTATTTCTTTCAGTGATTTAATTATTTCTTCTCTGAAGGCCACAAGCTGTTTGGCTGCATCTTCCTGTATTTCTTCACGGATGGCCCTAATCTGCTTGTCTTTATCTTCCTCCATTTCTTTACGAATAGCCATGATCTGTTTGGTTTTATCTTCCTCTAATTCTTTACTTATTTTATTTGTTAGCTCTATTATCCTCTTCATCAACATAGATGTAAGGTCATCTTCTTGATTTTCTATTATGCTGCATTGTTCAGAGCTGTTCGCCCCTGGATGGCTGGGTTCTGGAGATGCCATATTGCTCTGTCTTTTGTTGGTTGAGCTTTTACGCTGACCTCTACCCATTGGGCTGATTTAGGTGTTGGCTGTTAGTTTCTGTGCTTCCTGGAGTCCTGAGGTAGGGAGTATCCCTTTGGCCGGAAGATGATTTTTCCTGAAGGAGTCCTTCTCTGCTTTTTGGTTATGGTCACTGTATGGTCAGTGTTTCTCAGGAGTTGCCACTGCTCACCTCAGGTTTATAGCCCTGAGTAGTAGCTGTGGTCTATGTTAGGCAGGGGGGGATCTCCTCTTACCCATAGCAGTTCTCAAGACAGCTGCCCCACTGCTGGGTTTCATGTTATAAATTTAGTGTGCTGCTGCTCACTAAATTTCCATGTACAGTCCTCTTGAAGAACCTGCTGATTCCCTAGCTGTGGGGTTTTCTCCCAACAGGGAAACTCAGTCTGTTATCCTGGGATGCACAGTTCTGTCCGAGAAAGTGGGAGGTGCACTCAGCAAGTCTCTGGGCCAGAGGCTGATTGCTCTGCTCTGGACCTGGAGAATGTGCACCTAGGTTGAGTTGGCGCCTGGGGACACTGCTCTGGTCTGGAGGCTGGGTGCCTCACTCTGGACCAGAAGCTGTGTGTCCCTGTCTGGGATGGCAGCTGCAGGCACTGCTCTGGTCCAGATGCTGTGGGTGCAGCCCTCTTGAAGGACCAGGGATTCCCACGGTTTTGACAGTCTAGCTAGGGACAACTGGCCGATCCCTGGCACAGTATCTGAGGGCTGCTGTAATGGCTCTCTGGTTTTTGTAGGTCTGAGGATGCAGCTGTGTGTCCCAGTGCCCTAGGGGAACTCAATAATGGTGGCAGAGCACAACGCTCCTGCCTGCACTAGAGTCTGCGTGCGTCCAGGAAGTGTTTTGGTGCTGGGTGTCCTAAGCGTTAGAGCTGATGACCCCCTTTACTGGGGGTTTCCTCCTGCCAGAGACATGCAGTCTTTGCTTTGGGGACCACTGTTCTGTCTGGGGTGGCGAGTAGAACCCACAGGCACAGATGCCCTCTTGTGGCTCCGCCTTTCTGGCTGTTCGGAGCCTTGGCTGCTCCCTAGACTGTGTATTTTCCCTAGACCGTTTCGGGGTGAGGGTGTCGGCTGAGTGCTCTGAGATCAGAGCCGTTTCCCTCCCTGTGGGTTTGCACCTGCCAGTGAAACGCAGTCTCTGGTGCCTGGTGCCCTGGTGCCCACAGTTCTATCTGAGGCGGCGAATCAGGTGCGCAAGGAAGGCCTCTGTGCAGGCGCCTGGGTCCTGGCTCTGGGTCCGGGCTGGCTCTTGGGGCACCCGCGGAACCCGAGTCTTTTCCAGGAGATGTCTGGGTAACCTGAGGTCGGTCCCAATTGTTTCCTGCTCCGTGGGGTTATCTCTTGACTGGGAAATCCAGTCTATGGTGTTGTGGGCCCACAGTTCAGTCTGGGACCGTGACCAGATCGCCCTGGCGTGTAGCTCCGGGCTGGCGACCAAGCGCCTGGTGGAACCAGGATCTCTTCCGAGGTTTAGCCGGGTCAGTTAAAGCTGATTGAATCCCCCACCGTGGGGTATCCTCCCACCTATGAAACACAATCACTTGTGTTTTATGGCCACGAGTTCTGATTGCTGGTCACTGTGCCAATCCTGCTGTGCTGCTCCTGAGAATGAGAGTCCTCCCGGTGCCGCCATTTTGCCCCCTCCAATCCTTAACTCTTACAGTTAAGGCTCCCAGCAGAAAATTTGCTTAGGTTCCCACTACATTTTAACTACACTGTCCTGGCTTATCCTCTAAGCTATTGAAGAGTCTCTGAACAGGAAGCTACATGACATGTCTGTGATTAATCTTTGTTCAGTGCTTCCTGTGGTTTTAAAATCCTCTCCACAGTAAGCAGGATGACCCAGCACCTCCACTGACCAATTCTTCTCAGATGCTCTATTCCAATGCAGGTTCCTCCACACTGCTTTATACTTACAACAAGGAGTTATTATGCCAAGTTAGTCACAGGCTACACAACTATTTAAAGACTTTTTGTAGGTACTGTGCTTTTATCTTCCTCCTTATTAAAAAAAAAAAGTTTGCTTTTTGGGAGAACTAAAGAGATATTTGTCATTGGAAGATAATAGACTAGTTATAGCCCCTCTAACCACCCTTTATGGATTCTATGGAATGGACAGGGTTAATAACTCTTGACCCATTGCAATATTGTTGAGCTGTTTTTAGAAACGTGTATTATTCATATTTAAACTATTTAATCATAAGTCATACTTTATCTTTATATACAAGCATTCTGTTTTGAATTTCATCCCATATTTTTTCCTAACATGTATTCTGACTGCTACGTGGTCGCCTGAAGCCGAATTTAAGTTCTTGCCCTCACAAATGTGAACATATTTACAAATACTATATATATTACTAATGAATGAAAAAAACACAAGTCTAACTTGAATACCATTTAATATGTATTCATGCCAATTCTGAATAGGCTGTCCTATTTTCTATTTACCCAGTGCCTACCCTCCTTTAAACAAATGCTTAAGTTTTATCTTTTAATACCTGGGTTGTGTGTGGGGAGGGTCATGTCTGTCTTTTATGTATATTTGTGTGGAATAAGGTCCTGGGGAACAGACATATAGATTGTAGATATTAGATTCCTGTGCTGAGTACTTTTATGCCAACTTGAGACAAGGGAAAGTCATCTGAAAGGAGGGGACCTCAACTGAAAAAAACGTCTCTATAATATTGGGCTATAGGCAAGCCTGTAGCACATTTTCTTAATTAGATATTGATGAAGGAAGCCCAGCCTGTTGTGAGTGGTTTCATCCCTGGGATGGTGGTTCAGGGTTTTATAAGAAAGCAGGCCATGAGGAGCAAGCCAGTAAGCAACACTCCTTGATAACCTTCATAACCTCTAGACTAGTTCCTGCCTCTAGGATCCTTTCCTGTTTGGGTTCCTGTACTGGCTTCCTCCTATGATAGACTACAATGTGGATGTATAATCCAAATAATCCTGTTTGTTTCCAAGTTCCTTTTGGTTCTAGTGTTTCACTGCAGCAATTGGAACCCCAAGACAGTTCCTCCTAGCCCTAGTCTGTATTCTGTTAGCTCCCAAATATCTTTGTACTTGCTTTCATCTTTCTCCTTTTATGGTGTCAGCATTCATCAATTCAAAAAAAGTTATGAGTACAGAATTATACTTTTAGAAAAAAATGGATTTTTACATCTTTGACTCTGTAGCATAAAACCTATGCTCAATTATTATTTATTCAAATAAGTTAATGCAAAACCACATGATGGTAGGGATATAGGTGCTTTCGATGAATTGTATAAACATGACAGGTTGCTATGTTAGTCCTTGGAGTGTGAGAAAGGAAAAAGTTAGTATTTACTAACATTTGAACATTAAGGATGTATGCTTATATGTGTTTGGAATAAATTTACTTAAAGTTATACTGTTGGAGAACCAAAAAAATAAAAATTGAGATAAGAAAAGACACTGCATGGCTTATTAAATCTACAATAACAATGAGTGTAAGGTATCAATATTTTGTATATTGCTAAGCAACAAAAGTACAAAGGAAAATGAAATAGAATGGATGTTATTTTTAACAGTCACAGCTAGGAACCCTCAATTGTAGAAAACATTCCTAATGTATGCATGTTAAAACAGAGATTTTTTGGGGGGGAGGGGAAGAGAAAGAGAGGGTAGGACTGGGATGAGATGAGCAAAGGGGATACGATCGGGATGTAAAGTGAATAAATTTAAAAGAAACAAACAAACATTTTTCAGATAGAACCATAGTTAGGAGTAAATATATCATAAAAAAATAAATATCCACCAAATTTACAAGAACTTTAGGAGAAATTGGCAATATCCAACACTAAAAATATTAAAAAGAAAATAACGAATTTTGTATGTACAAATAAACCTCTCCAAAACCCACGCCAAATAAGCTTGAAGGAAATTTTGCTACGTAGTAGCAGACGCTGCTCTCTTGGCAAGTCGGGTTTAAAAGCAGAATTCCAATCCTGTACTACAGATAGTGTCATGATACATAGTTAAGAAGAATGAAGTTTAACTACAGTATCAGCTGACCACTGACTTTTCCCCTGTTCGGAGCAGCGATGAAGCTGAAATCTCCACTCAGTAGCTGCTGCTTTGATGCAAGCTCACCGGCAGGAACATTTGTACACCATATTTGTGAGCTAGAGCCGAATAACCAAACTTTAAGGAAACACTTGCTGTAGCTTTGTCGGGTGACGCAGCTATGCAGCGCGCCCTCGATGTCCCCGTGAACGCTCCTCGGTTCGTGTTCAGACCATTCATAATTGATTTCAAAACATTTTTTTTTTCTTTTCTTTTCAGACCAGCCGTTGTGTGATCCTGGTGAATTTCTTTGCCACGACCACATGACTTGCGTCTCCCAGAGCTGGCTGTGCGACGGGGACCCAGACTGCCCTGACGAGTCAGATGAGTCTTTAGATACCTGTGAGTAGAAAAGGCTCTTTCCCTTTGGATTCGCCTCCCTGTGAAACCAAATGTCAGTTGCTTCCACAGATCGCTGCTGCTCTAGTCGGTTCTATTTTTATTTCTTTTTAAACATAACCTGAGCAATGTGAAGCCTTTTGTTTCTGTTTTCTTTCAAATGAGTATGTGAATGGGAGACTGAAGTGCAGTTGTAGTGTGCGAAGTAGCTTGCAAAGCGGAGAGAATGCAGTGCTAATACTTGCCCTGTAATTGGTCTGTTATTAGGGATCTTATCTGAAGCGGACCAGAAATACAGCAGTAGCAACACAGGGTCCTTCATCCATTTTGTCTCACCTACGTTGAGATGGAGGTTTGTGTGGGAGAATCATTAAGAAAATAAACTTTCTCCTTTATACTAACCCTTCAAATTCTACAGATTACCGGACACAATTTCTTTCTTTCTTTTTTTTTTTTTTAGTTTTAATTTTTTTCACAAGTTATTCATTAGATATCCCGATTGAAACCCCCTCCCTCAACTTACCCAGTCCCACCTTCTCTCCCTCTTCTCCCAATCCCCTTTCCCTAGTGCACTAAAAGGGGGAGTTGTCCACCATTGGCATCTGATCACAGCTTTTTAAGTCTCCTCAGGACTGCCTGGATCCTCTTCCTCTGTGACCCGGCAAGGCCGCATCACCAGGGGTGAGCGATCAAAGAGCAGGCAACTGAGTTCATGACAGAGGCAGCCTCTGCTCCCCACTCGGAGCACGTGGAGACTGAGCTGCCAATCCGCAACATCTTCAGATGTTCACAGGGGATCTAGGTCCTCTCCATGAATGGTCCTCCGTTGGTGCTTCAGTCTCTGCAGCACCCCCTGGTCTCAGCTTTGTTGGTCTCCCTGTGGAGCAACTGTCCCCTTCATGTCCTTCTACCCCACCACCACCACGACCTTCATCTTCTTCCATAAGACTCCCTGCACTCTACCCAGAGTTTGGCCGTGACTCTCAGCATCTGCTTAGATGCCCTGTTGGGTGAATCCTTTCAGAACACCCTCTATGGTAGGCTTCCATCCTGTTTCCTCTCTTCCACCGCCTCTGGTGTCTACCCTGTTTACCATTCTGAATGAGATTTAAGCATCCTCCCTAGGGTCCTCCTTAGTGTTTAGCTTCTTTAGGTCTGTAGATGACTGTCCTGTATTACATGGCTAATATCCTGGATCGCTCAATTGATAAAGCTTCAGAACCTGAATCTGAACACAATTTCTTTAGAAGCTAGAAGACCGAGAAATCTTCTCAGTGAAGCTCTTATCCATTATGAGATGTGGGTGACCTTGTTATCTGTGGGTTCTACTCCCAGTTGGAGCACAGTTATGTGAAATCTTCAGAAGATTTGTTCAAGCCAGGCATGCCACTGTAACAACATCGTGAATAACGTTGTGAGCAAGGCTGAATGAGCCATACATTTATGAATGTTAACCTCTTCTTCATCATGAGACATAGGCATTAATTTTGATATCAAGTTTTCTAGACCTTGCAGCATCAGTCTGTGGATGCCATGTAATCACATCTGCCAGTATATCAATAATATCCCCAAGACAATCACAGTCTGTAAAGTCATAGAAGAAAAATAAAATCACTGTTGTTGATTTATATTGTGGTGATAACCTATATTGGTTCCCTTTTATGCTTACGTCTATGTGCTTACTCATTTTGCAGATTAAACTAACTCATTAGTTATTAAAATCTTGCCATTAAAGGGAAATCAGTACTCATTAATATTCTTTATCACTGCAAGTCCTATTAAAATTCTTCAGCATGGCTGAACTTGAATGTGTGTCTTCAAGTTGCTCCTCTGTACTTTAAACCTATCTTCCACAGGAAGTGGTTGTAGATATTTAATAAGTTACTAATTTTCACCAAATTTACATTTAATCACAAATTTTTCTATTGTCATACTTATACCATACAGACCAGGCTCTGGGTGTGATAGATTTAAGAAAATCAGAGCATTATGATTAATTTAAAAGTTTTGTTGATCCTCACAAATATATTATTTATCAGGAGGAAAGAATAAATTACCAACCCATGCTATAAAACAGATGAACTTTAAAGAATATTATGCAAACGGGAAGACACAAGCCATAAAAGATCATGAATTTTACAACATCACTCATTTAAAGACCCTGTGTAGACAATACCATATTGAAGGGTTACAGAGAAGTGGTCAGAAAATGAGGAATGTTAATGTCTATGAGGTCTTTGGAGGCATGGTGAAAGTGGTTTAAAAGATTTTGATGATGGATATACAGCTTTGAATGTATTTAAAATTCTGCAACTGTATAATTTAAATGAGCTTATTATACACTCTATGAATTATGTCTTAATTATGTTGTATATAAAGGGAGAAAGCCTCAGTATTGTGCACATGGATGCAGATGGTTAAGATACTGTGGAAAAACAGTAGGGATAAAAGCCTACCTCAGTGATGGAACCATATTCCAAAAATATAACCAGCTTGAAGATTTCGACCCTTTAGCCAAGTACCCCATAGAATGCTGTTCTTCACTACAAGGCAATTTCAGAATAAAAGTCAATATTCAGTTTCGTAGTAGAGTCTAATAGTCTACCTTAATCCTCTCACAGATTCTGTGGTTGGGATATAGTATGGGCTTTGACAGGAGCAACTGGATTCCCTATGCAGGAAGTGCATGGTGGGGGAATTGTCTTGACATTGTGTATATGGCACAGGCTAAGGATTAGGACAAAGAAAAACGACGACACAGGTGAGTGGGAGAATCAGACTAGAGAGGTTTTGTGTTCTAGAAAAGATATTAAAACCTTGTAGCTGGAGGACTGTCCTAATTAAGACTGAAGAAATAACTGTTGTTCTGTCTACTCATATAATATCAAACATGAGATTTACACTGAACTTACCTAGTTCACTAACTATACCAGATAAGTGATCTCAGGAAATTAGTGACAAGTTCAGGGGAGAAAAAATGAAAAATCAGACATTTCAACCTTGGATTTCTTAATGTAGATCTTCAGAGGTAACATTGTGCTTCAGTGTACTTTGTGAAATTTCAATGAATTATCCTGACTCTCCATAAAATAATTTTGCAATTTCATAGTTACATGACTATGAACACTTGATATGAAAGATCGACACTCAGAATGGAAATCTTTGAAGACTGGTTTGTAGGAGCTGTAATTTTGTTATGTATATGAACAAAGATATGTTATCATTTTTGATTTGATAACTAAGCTCATGGTTTCATAAAATATTAAATGAAAATATATTATGCAACATATTTAATTTTTCCCAAATATACTTAGGCTTTACAATAAAAAGAAAGAATGATTCATCCTAGAATTTATCGTGAAAGATGGAAGCTCTAAAGTGAAAAATAAGAGACAGATATGGATTGGATGGGAAAGAGGCCGCACTTCAATCTCTGATGCCTGAAATGCTGTAGATAACACAAATGCGTAAGGAGAACAGAAAGTTAGGTGAAATCAAGCTGTAAAGAGACCAGCATTCAAATCAACCATGCTATCCTCTTCTCCATGAATATTTGGGAATATTTTCTCATATTCCTCTGGTAGAAGTTGAATTTCACTACTAGCCAGAGACACAGAAAGTTTACCTGATTTCAGGTTGCCACTCGCTTCATTTTGGAAGGAGTTGTTTAATATCTGGTAATTTTAAATAATTTCAACATTTTTGTTTGATATGAGAAATAATTTTTCAGCTTTGAGATGAAATCCTTTCTGTGTGTAATTTGAAATGTGTCTAAGCAATGGTTAGGGCCACCTTTAGTTCTTATGAGGTGAGGAAAATAGTAAGTCAGGAAAATCTCCATCTTTATATTCACAGCTTTCAACCCACTGCTGTTAGCCATAGTATACAGTCGGAATAAAAGTAAATATGGCCAAGGTTTTATTGTGAAATGAAAATACATGGCACCATCTGTAGCAAGGAAGTCTTCTTAAAAGGCACTTTCTTCTGAGGTTTCCAAATCTTAATTCCTTCTAGAATTATTCCAGTCACTGCTTAATGATTCCTTCTTTCTGAAAATCAATTCCAGTTCGTGTGCAGGGCTTCCTGTGGACCTGGAGTTAATGTGCTTACACTCACCTCATTTTTCAGCCAGGAAGGTCTTAACTATGCTACTTGTCCTTCATTCCTACTGTTTTACTAGCACTCAGAAAATCACTTAAAACTTCTTTGATTGTACATCATACTTTTTTTTTTTATAATGAGTTTTATGGTGAACAAAGGCGTAGAGTACAAAAATAGTCTTTGCAATTGTAGATTTTGCACTGTAGATAGTTGTGGCAATTTTTGAATTGAGTTTGTTTTGTTCTCATGTAGGGGAGTAATGCTTTTACATAAAGGACTCCAATAGTCACTGTTTACATTTCAGGGGCTCACTGGCTCTCTCTCTGCCATGCATTATCCTTTAAATGTTTGCTTGCTTGTTTGTTTCGTAAACTATCTGCCAGATTTTACGATGAAAAAAAAATAAAGTAAAAAAAAAAATCAAAAGAGAATAAAGTAGATCACAGGTCAGGATTGGTTAGCAAGTTATAGTTTGACCTATCAATGTTGAGGTGTAATTGCTGGAGCATACCGGATCTACAGTTGTGCATGCAAGTCAGTGCATGTCTAGGTGTTGTGGTGGCATGGGGGTGACTGACTCACACCCACAGTCAGTGAGTATTGCATAGACCTGTGTGTGGCCCTCAGGTGCCAGCCTGAAGCAACATGGCATGGTCTGCAGACATTGCATTCCTTCTAAGTGTACAGAGCTGTTGGTGAGGGCAGCATCTGAGTACCTGCTCCAAAAAAAAAAAAAAAAAAAAATGGTGGTTAACATACCAGCGTCCTCTTCTCAAGTGAGAAATATTACAAAGAAAGACAAACAGAGGCATCATGAAATGAATGTGATTGCTCCAGTGTGAACTGGGTCCTGTGATCTTCGTGTTCTGCCATGCCTGGCCCTGGCTTGTGGTTGTCAGTCT